CTCCTCTCCCCAAGAAAACAATATAAAATGTGCAATACAAAACCTGCTTACACAGATGTTGTGCACCCCCGGCTGGTTCAGTCTTTCAACACCGCAAGCATGTGACAGTGCCTCCTGTAGACCCTCCTGTCTGTGGGTGCTGTCCTGAACAGGCAAGGACACCCACTGTCGCTAAGACGTCTAGGTGCTTTCCTTACCTGGATTTCCAGATTCACAGAGATCGTTCCGCAAGGATAATCTCTGAGGTGCATGAGTGGGGAGCAATGCTTAGAGTTCTGGTCTGGAAGGTTGCAGCTTCAGAACCCAGGTGGGTCTCAACATGTCCACCTGAGCAAGGTACTTCACTCAGATTTATTTCTAGTAAAATACACAGCTGTATTTTGCTGTAAATGGGAGCAAAAATAAGATGCCTTTGATAGAGCTGTCAGGTGTATGCTGATAGCAGAGAATTACACTTGAAACACATGGGACTCTATGGTGGAACTTCATTAATAATAATAATTCCTTACATTTATATAGTGCTTTTCTGGACACTCCACTCAAAGCTCTTTACAGGTAATGGGGACTCCCCTCCACCACCACTAGTGTGCAGCCCCACCTGGATAAGTGACGGCAGCCATAGTGCGCCAGAACACTCCCCACACCCCAGCTTTATGTTAGCAGAACGGCGTAATGATGCCAATTCATAAAAGGGGATTACTAGGAGACTGTGAATAGGTAAAGCCCAATGGAAAATTTGATGTCCCTACTCTTTTTGAGAAATGCCCTGAGATTTTTAATGACCATAAATCATCCGAAGGAGGGCTGTCATTTAACAGTACAGTGTCCCCGTCACTATATCACTGTGTGGGGCATAAGGACCCACACAGACTGCAGGGTGAGCGCCCTCTACTGGCACCACTAACAGCTCTTCCAGCAGCAGCCTTAGCTTTCCCAGGAGTCTCCCATCCAGGTACTGACCAGGCTCACACCTGCTGAGCTCCAGTGATCTGCCACTTGTGAGTTGCAGGGTGATATGGCTACTGGATGATTAGATTAAAAATTAGAAGACATTAGAAGTGCCATTTGAACATGCGCCAGTGGTGTAGGAGTATCATGCAAGATTCACAAGTTCAATTCCCAGCTGGCACATTTCTGTCATTATACTGCTTGCTAAAAGTTGAGGGTTTGTGGTGGTCTGCAAAAAAAAAGCTGCAGAGTCATGTTGTTGAATGCAATATCCTGGTTTCTTTCAAGATCCTACTGAGATCCTCCAGTAAGGACAAGAGGCACTTCCGAAACGGCTGGATAAGATCCTCTGATCAGTTAGCTGCTAACTACCAGCCAGGCTAGATGGCCTGCGCTCATCGGGGGCCTGATTTCAGTGTGGCCTGGCAGCGCCTGGCCCAGCTCACCTGCGCCTGCTCTCCTGCGCCTGCGCCGCGCGCCACCCTCGGCCGCCTGGAGCCCGCCGCAGCGCAGGCCACCCGCGTCCTGCCCCGCCCGCAGCTGGTTCTCAATCAGCCTGAGCCTCAGCTTCAGGGTGTCGTTCTCCTTCTTGCTCTGGGCGATCTCCAGCTGGAAGTCGGCAAAGCTGCCCTCGAACAGCTTGGTGATCTCGCACACCGCCGCTTTGACGAGCAGCTCCATCACGGAGGTGAGCTGGGACTGGAACGTCACCACGGACTCCAGCATCCTGCCTCCCCGAGGGTCCCTTCGGGATTTCCTTCCCACCCGTTCGGTGATCCCAGCTCAGGGGTGAACTTGACTGCGGTCAGGGTCCTCCAGGACACACTTCCATTCCACCGAGCTTGTCAGCAGGCAGGGAATTCGGCACGTTCAACTCCCAGACTAAAAGAAGGAAACAAAGGACCTTTTCAGCAGACAAACACTAACCCAGCTTTGTTTATTTTCAATCAGCTAGCGATAACCACTCACAAAGATGAATGGATGGTCACTAAACTTAACTGATACAAAATCACAACCACGGTGCTGTAGATATAGGGTGTCCGCACCAGCCAGTATTTCTTTCTGCAGCTGTATGTGATTGTGAGACTACTGTGCTTTTAATCACTGGACTTATTATACATGTGGGAGGTATTGCATTAAGTGGGCAAAGCAGTTACTTAATGTAAACAATTAAAACAGTATGATTTTAAAATTGGTAAGGTGGCATATGTTATTTTTCTATAATTTGAATTTTATACTTGACACAAAGAAACGATGAAACACAAGCCAGAGGACACAAGTTGAAAGTACATTTAAAACCGAGAACAGGAAGCGCTTCTTTACACTAAAGGTGGTGGGAGAGTGCAACAAGCAGTCCAACCATGTTGTGGCCTTTGCACCAAACACGAAATTAAAATATTTTCGCAGAAGCTGTTTTTTTTCCCCAAAATTGTGACGTTACAAAATACATCAAGTTACACCTCGGAAAACGTCATATTACTGTACCTTTGCCTGCACAGACGCGTTTACTACAGAGAAAAGTTAAGCATATTAGAATTCTCGGAGGACTTTTACTGCTGTTATTTTCAAATAAAAAACGAAGGTTATAAATCGCGATTTACTGTATGTTATTTTCTCTATACGTCTTGTTTATTAATTCCCACGTCAAAATAGCCATTTTATGTTTTGCCTTGATAACCTTACTTTTGTAATTTGTGCGAAAACACGAAAGTGTCCATTTACCGAGGGCCAGATCTGCGATGGCCTAACATGCAGAGATTTAACACATCAGGCCAAACCGTTACAGCTACACGCCGAGAGGAAACTGCAACCCGCGTCCTCTACCGTCGCCGTTAAATACCTTATTTACCGCACAACCGACCGTGGGTAAAATGCTGGACATTCAGAATTAAAGCAAAACTAATCCCAATATCAGGGATTCTTAGGCAAAACCATCAGGCCTGTATAAATATAGTTAAAAGAGTAAGAGATGGCAGGCAGCAATAATAATGGACTGAAAACATAAATACGACCGTACCTAACAGCGTTATGCAACCGTTTATTTAACCCTGTCGTCAACGCAGTTTAAGGATACGGACAAAAAATATTAAAACATCCCCAAACAACGCGGCGGTTTATAAGTCTAAAAGCTCAGCAAAAACAAGTTGCCTCGGACCTCGACCAAAAACAAAACAGCGCACGGTGCCACCTCGTATAACTTCCCCTCTGCTACCTGAGCCACCACCGCTGAGTTCCGAGGCTACATTTTCAGAACAAAATAATGACGACTAATTCTAAGAATGACTTCACTGTTTTAAAATATAAAAAGTGATAATAAATAAGCACAACAATTAAATATAAAGACGGAACACGTTTCAGCATATATTCACAGAAAACATGGTACCTCTACAGCGCTTTACATGCAAGTTTTTCTAACCCCCTCCCTCAATGTAATGTACTGTAGTGTGCAGTCAGTGTGTCTATTGTATTCATCACTCTGTTATCCTCCCCACTCATTAGCTGGTGCACTGGGAGCATACTGGTGCGCTATGGCTGCTGTTGCATCATCGAGGTGGGACTACACATTGGTGATGGTGGAGAGGATCCCCATTACCTGTAAAACGCTTTGAGTGGAGTGTCCAGAAAAGCCTTATAGAAGTGTAAGGAATTATTAATGAAGTTCCATCATTAGAGTCCCATGTGTCCTCTCCCCTTACAGGATTTGTTTTTCCAGCAGGTGGTGCTGTTTTATATTTCTTATATTTATATATATATGTTTCCATATTTTATCTAAGACACTTACACACATACATTATGTACTGTATACCGTCTTGTTCTTTTAAATGTAAAGTGTCTTTGTAGTGCTCTGAAACTATTTACAATGATCC